TAGAGGGAAAAGAAATGCAAACAGTGTCAGATTTTACATTTTTGGACTCAAAGATCACCATAGATGGCAACTGCAGCCATGAAATTAAAAGATGCTTGCTCCTTGGAAGGAACCCTATGGCAAAATTGGACAGAATACTAAAAAGCAGAGACATCATCTTGCTGACAAAGGTCCATATAGTCAAAGCTATGGTTTTTCCAGTAACAATGTATGACTGTGAGGGTTGGACCATAAGGAAAGCTGAGCACAGCAGAATCAATACTTTTGAATTGTGGTGCTAGAGAGGACTTTTGAGAGTCCCTTGGAAAGCAAGGAGGTCAAATCAATGAGTACTTAAGGAAATTAATTCAGTCTATTCACTGGAAGGTCAAATACTGAAGCTGAAGATTAAATACTTTGGCCACATAATGAGAAGAAGGGACTCATTGGAAAAGACTCTGATGTTGGGAAAGATTGAAGGAAAAAGGGACAGTGGAGGATGAGATGGATAGACAGTATCATGGAAACATCATGAACTTGGACAGACTTTGAGAGATAGTGAAAGATGCAAACATACCACTTTGCCAAGGGCTTGGCATGCTATGGTCCCAGGGGTCACCAAGAGTTGTGAATGAATGACTGAATAACAAGAAAGTACTATCACTTCATTTGCCAGGGGCCAAAGTTTCATTGGCCCCTTTGGCAGTCTTCCAAAGCCTAGGGAGCTCTAATCAGAATAATGTTTTTAAATAATTAAAGGAAAATGCTGTTTTATTTAGAGATTATTGAAAGTAATAGTGTATATTTTTTAGCCTTTCCAAGTTTATAGTTTCCCTGAAATCCACACCTTACTTCTAAAGAAGTAAAAACTAGTAGCAAGATGTCTAGATCAGCTACCTTGTCTAGAGTCCACGCAATAAATAATTACTCATATGGGCAGCCTTCTATCACCCTTCCTGAGAGAGGTGCAGGATCCTAGAGTGCAGTACAAGAAGGAAGCAGCACTCTCCCTTACGTGCCACTTTTGTTGCCAGTGAAAGGACCTGAGGAGTATGTGGTTCAGGGAAGATCCCTCATCACAACCATAGTGTCACACAGAATAGGGAAGTCTTCCTGTTGGGGAAAAGGGCTCATGGTTACAACTCTTGCTTTCTACATTCTCTAAATCGTAGTTTAGGAAGTAGGAGTGGTTACCAGCCCTGGTCAATGGTTCATGTTTCTAAAGGAGAAATCTGGCTCAAGATGGAACCCAGAAGATGGAAAATGAAGAGAACAGGCTTTATTAAGAGGAAATTGTTACAATACAAAGGGGCAATAAGGGAGGGTAGAACTGTCAGTTCCACCATGGTGTCCAATGGGTGCTAATGGGTGCTAAAACTAGTAAAAGGAGGGGGTTTTCCAAGACCAGACATTGGAGGGAAGGAGTTGGGAACCTGGACCTCATGCAAAGGTCATAGTTTGGGGACTGATGCTGACTCAGCTGGGGGATACCCTGGAGAATTAGCAGGCTAGTTTATAAATAAACTTCCCATTAGTGGAAAAAAGGGGCTTTTAACCAGGAGCCTTACTTGGGCAGTATTGATTGGGAGGATTTCAACTTACCTGGCTTCCTTATTTGGCAAGATGGGAATACTATTTAGATTTGTACAGGCAAGTACCACTGTATTGCAATGGGAGTGATTATTGCTACCAGTGTGGAATTTGGGGACATTTAGCTTATGGATTGCATTTAGATCTAGTTTCCTGACAGGAGATGGCAGTGGTGAAAATGGCTGGCAATTATTAGATCTAGGTTTCAAATCCCCAGCACAAATCCATTTTGAACAGGACCCAAGTTGCAGTTTTCACTAGGAGGTCCAAGTCTTTTAAGATGTTGGTGTGAGTAGCTATTCCAATGAAAGCAATTCAGGACCCCAAAAGAATTGGGGCTGAGAGGAGTCACAAGGCAAGGCTAAGGTAGTGATCAGCCCCTTGGAGGTAAAGCATTACAGAGAAAAATAGATGAGAAATTTGAGTATGGGTCTCCAATAGAAAAGAATAAGACACATTGAGTCAGAGGTGGGAACAGAAATAGAAGGGGAGCTGTGAGGAGAATATTAGGATTATATGAGTTGAAAATAGCTGTATGTGGAAGTTCATAGAGCAAGGGTTCTTAACCTTTTTGTATCATGGGTCCCTTTGGCAGTCTTCCAAAGCCTAGAGAACCCTTATCAGAATAATATTTTTAAACAATTGAAGGAAATGCTAAGTTTCATTTAGCCATTAGTGAAAATAATGAAGCATTTTTTATCCTTTCCAAATTTGTGGTTTCCCTGAAATTTAACCATGCACTCCATGGAACCCAAGATAAGAATCCTTACTTAGAGGCACATGGCCGCCCACAGCTGTTACAAATATTCCAGCTATTTAAGAAATATAAGTACGCTCCTTCGACCATGGTGATCAAGCATCTTGGTTTGGTGTTAGCCCGATTCAGATCCTGACTCTATTGGTGATGGAACTTGGAGCAATTATAGAAAGAATCAGGTATAGATGCTGTATTTGTATTAAACAATTGGCTGGTTTCTGAGTGAGCAAAATAGAACGGTGGAGACAAAGCAAGAAGGAGAGAAAATTATGTGAATCCATTTGAGTGAACATAGAGAAGTAAAGTGTTGTGACTAATGTGAAATCCAACAGTTTGGAAACCTCTAGAGAAGAAAGATGAATTTATGGGAGTATGGAAAGAGTGGGCACTGGGGCTAGCAGAGTTTGGCATGCTCAGTTGATTCTTTGAATCTTGAAGTTATTGTGTGCTTTGGGTTCCATCCCTTTTCCTATAGAGCAATGCCAGCATTAGAAGAGTAATGAGGAGAAAGATTTGACAGATATAAGTACCTGTCTGTCATATTCTAAAAATCTTCATATAGAAAAAAATAGAACCTTCATGAAAAAGTCAATGGATCCAGTAATTGTATGTGAGAGTAGGCATAACTGTGTTGAGTGGGAGATAGATATTCCATATCATATGACATGGTATACTGGCCAACCTTTACTAGCCTGCCAGGGTTCTTCTTCAAATGTGGTTCCTAGAACATAATGTTCTGGATTTGGTCTCACCAGACCAGAGTACAATGGGACTCTAAAGTTCTTCATTTTAGATGACACTATTAGCCAATGGAATCACAGGTATAATCCCTATCCTATCTTTATGCTCCTAGACTAAAATCTCTTTGGTTGTTGGTTGGTTGGGATTTTTTATTTGTTGATCTGTTCATTTGTTTGTTTTTGTTTTGGTAGGCATTCCTACCAAATTCCTACCATATTTAATAGTTCATTGCCTCAGAGGTATATGATTTTTGCAACCCCTCTATAATTTACTTACTAGACAGTCTTTGAGAAGTTCTACAACTGAAAATTTCACTAACCTACAACCTAACCAAAGAGGAGTCTCTTTGAACTTGGTTAGGTTGGTCCTCAGATGACAGGCACAGTGACCTTCCATCACTCGGGCCCTAGTAAAAATTTTTCCCTTGGCAAGACTGACTAGGGCTTTCACTCTGAGGTTACAGCCTTTGGGAACTCAGGTCACCTCCATGCCATGATGAGACATCAGAGGAGGATTTTCTTCCTCACCAATGTTAACATTTTTAGATATCTTTTTTCTTCATTGTTGTGTTACACTTTAAGAGATATCTGATTTGTATTGTCCTTGATGAACACCCCCACCCCCCATCCCCATCCCTACCACCAGATGTTTAAGCTTCGTAAGGGCAGGAATTACACCTCAGTTTATCTTTATATCCAATTCTCATTCTTTATCTGAGGGTATACCAATGCTTTGCCCATAGTAGGTACTTTTGAAAAATTGCACCGTTAGATGAATTAATAAATACATGAGAGATCTTAAGCCTCATTGGGAGAACTCACTAGTCTAAATGCCTGCTTTGCCAGGATTCAGGATGCATCTTTGAGGGTTTATGATCATTGACACCTATTTTTTTTTTTTTTGTAGTCTAAGAAATGGATTAACAACAAATTGGCCGATTTTTCTCTCAATTGATTCAGCCAAAGAAATCTTAAAACCTTGGAAATAGGCTTAAAAGCACATAATATAAACCTTACTGCAAGGTAACTTGTGAGAACCCTGTGAGTAAATGACTTAATGGGTAACCTTTTATTCTGAAAGAGATGCATCAGGTGTTAAGTATAGCTCAGTTCTTAATATAATATCACCTTTTCAATGAAAAGCCATTTATGAAAGGGCTAGCATGATTACAGTGGTGACTCTAAATATTAGTCATTGTACTTACATCTCTGTGATCTTAGAACTATGAAAACCCCCTCCCACTTCCCAGTGGATCTATACCAATAAAGCAAGACGGAAACCTTAAGCCATTACCTCCAACATTCAGACAAAACCCCTGTGGATCCTAACTAATGGGCCCCCATTCAGTTTTTCCTGAAGGAGCTGGAGAATGTCCTTAGGGTTTTGCTCCAAGATTGGCAGAAGAAAAGAGACAAATCCCACGCTGTTCAAAATGGCTTTGATTAGGAGTCGCCTCCAAAACCTGCTCTTTGCTGCGGGGGCCTCTGGTGAATCTGTGCTCAGCTCGACAAAAAGCTCGGGCCCTCCCGTAGTCAAAGCAGAGAGCCTACACAGCAACAGATGGCTGTCTTATTGGCTCCTGCTTTTGACATTTAGGACATCAATTTAGTTTTCATTCTTGTACTTTAATGCAAATCGATGACTCAATTGCAACCTCCTGCTAAGATTCTAAGTTTCATGAGAGCAGGCACCAAGTTTGATGGAGGCCCTCATTACCACTTTTCTGAAACATTGCAACAGTCTATTAGCATGTCTTCTCATTTCTATCCCCCCCCTCCAAACACTATTAACCCTTGAAACTATTTTTCAGACATGAACTCTCTCTAGTATGTGCCACAGAAGGTGATAATCACAGAGCAATAAAGGAATCAAGATTTTGACTTTTTCTTTTTAACATAAGTTTTCATTCATATTTTCTGCTTCTCACATTACCAAAAAATAGCAACGCTTCATGAATTTGCATGTCATCCTTGCACAGGGGCCATGATAATCTTCTCTGTATTATTCCAAATTTACCATATGTGCTGCTAAAGTGAGCACAGATCAAAGCTTTCAAAGATGTGTCTATAGAGCTTTATTGTCTCATGTGATTTGGCCTAGTCACAGAGGCAGAGAGCACCAGATGCTTACCACCCAACAGAACTTTCCAGAGGCCACAAAGAATTCTCGTGACCTCCTTTCTTATGGTGAACACAGGAATTATTCAATACTGCCCCTCATTGCATTGGCCCTCCATCCTGTCCCCCCACCCCAACATCACTTACTACAATGGTAGAGGGATCTTATCTTACTGCACATCATAAGCTTTAAGACATTATACATTCCCCAATACCTATCCATTCCTTCTCCAAGTTTATCTCATTTCTATTGAGGACACCGCCACCATCTCAACTACCCAAATTTACAAAGTTGGAATCATTCATAACTACTCCCTTTCCCTCAACCTCCATGTGTAACAGTTGTCTAATCTTATTGATTCTATGTCCACAGTATCTCTTGCATTCTTTCCCTTCACTCCACTCAAATGGCCTCCATCTTAATTTCTACTGTTATCAGACTTATGTCCTTCGATCTGAACCAAATTTTCCTCAGTCCTACTTTGCTCACCTTTAGCTAGCTTAACCCCTGGACAACCACAATGGAAACTACTGCCTGATTTATCTTCCTGATGCATATGTTAGGGTAGAAGGATCACAGTTGACCATACCTCCTGCCTCATTTCTCCATTTCCCCCTCCCCAGGATTATAAGCAGAGCTTCAAGATCTTTTCTGAGCCCAGGTTCAGAGTAGAAAGAGTTATTATTAAGCTAGACTTCAGGTAGTTGAGTAGAGTTGCAATGCTCAAATTTGAAAGAGTGGTTTACCTGGTCATGAGTTGTACTCGAGTTGTACCCCTCTGGAGTTACTTCCCCAGTGCCCATTCATGTTGGCAGAGAGTCCCCAGAGAAAGGTGACTATTATTATCAATCAATCAGCATTTATTAAGCACCTGTTATGTGCCAGGCACTGGTGCTAAGTACTAGGGATACAAAAAGAGGTAAAAAGCAGTCTCTGCCCTCAAGAAGCTTACAATCTAAGGAGAAAGACAACATGTAAACAAATACATACAAAGCAACCTCTATACCGGATAAATAGGAAATAATTAACAGAGGGAAGGCACTAGAATTAAGAGAGTTAAGAAAGACTTCCTGTAGAAGTAGGATTTCAGTTGGGACTTAAAGGAAGCCAAGAAGGTCAATAGTCAGAACAGAGGAGGGAGAGCATTCCAGGCATAGGGTACAGTCAAAGAGAATGCCCCAGAGCCAAGAGATAGAATGTCTTTTTTTTTTTTTAGTCAACTGAGGTTAAGTGACTTGCCCAGGGTCACACAGCTAGTAAGTGTCAAGTGTTTGGCCTGAGGTCAGATTTGAACTCAGGTCCTTCTGACTTCAGGGCTGGTGCTCTATCCACTAGCCACCTAGCTGCCCCAAGATAGAATGTCTTGTTCTTGGAACAGCCAGGAGGCCAGTGTCACTGGATCAAAGAATTCATGTTGGGGAGTAAGGTATAAGAAAACTGGAAAGGTAGGAGAGGACTAGGTTGTGAAGGGCTTTGAACGCCAAATAGCATTTTGTATTTGCTCCTGGAGGCAATAGGAAGCCACTGGAGTTTGTCGAGTGTGTGTGTGTGTGTGTGTGTGTGTGTGTGTGTGTGTGTGTGTATGGTGGGGGGGTGATATTATTGGACCTACATTTTTAGTGGCTGAAGGATGCATTGGAGTGGGCAGAGACTTGAGGCAGCAGACCTACTAGCAAACTATTGCAATAATCAAGGCATCAAATCATGAGTGCCGGCAGTGTCAGAGGAGAGAAGAGGATATATTCAAGAAATGTTTCAAAGGTGAGATCAACAGGCCTTGACAACAGCTTGAAAAGGAGGATAGTGAGGGAGTGGTGAGAGACAGTGAGCAATCCTGGATAACTCCTAGGTTGTGATCCTGAGGGACTAGGAGGATGGTGTTGCCCTCTACAGTAACAGGGAAGGTAGCAGGCAGGGAAGGTTTAGGGGGAAAAATATTGAGTTCTGTTTTTAACTTACTGAGTTTAATATGTCTAATGGACATCCAGTTTGAGATATCTGAAACACAGTTAGAGATGTGAGATTGGATCTTTCAGGGTATATAGGGTTGGATTTGGATGTAGCATAATTGCCTTCCTATAACAAATACCAGGCCCCTACATTTAATAAATGTATTTCATATAATTTGCTCCCAGACTGAGCTGACAGAGTCTGGGTTAGATAAAGTTTATACAGGTCAAGGTGACCCACCCTACTCTCAGGTAAAAGTTGGTTAGGGCTAGGTAAAGTATCTTTGGTAATAAAACACCAGTGAAGAATCCCAAAGGGGCCTGTGCATAAGTTATCCACATGGAGCAAAGCAGTAAACTCACAACTCTTGTACTGGAAGTCCTTTTCTCTCTTCATAGATATTCCCCTTAGGCGTAGTTCTTTGCTGCATTCTGAACAGGGTCCATACCTGCTACTTTTCTCCATGATGATGAGTCCCAATTCCTAAAGATGCTGCTGTCCTCAAGTGAATACCTTTCCACATATGTCTGTGGTCATTTCCTCTATCATTGGCACACATTTAGGGTTCACTGTGGGTTCAAAGAGGTGGGGCAGGGAGAAAGATTGATCTCTTCTCAAGGGCTTGGTTGGAGCTCCTCTACCATTTGGTTTGCTGAACTTTTTAATCGAAAACTGGCTTCCTATTATATCCATTGACCCATAAGAGTATCTGAATCATTCAGCCAATTACAAGGTATTTCCTGTGTGACATATTTCATGTTTTTATCTAAAGATACTTTATTCCTCTCAAATTGATTAAGAACTTGTTCATATCTAGTTTATACTTTTGTCTAACTGATTGACTGAATCAGGTGCCTCACCTTTTGTGATTATATTAACTGGAGTGGGGTTATGTTTGTATAGATTTAAACAGTACGTGTATCTTTGATGTGATCAGTGAATGGATTTGTTTGTCAGTATAAGCTATGAGTTAGTGCATATGTCTGAAAGTATCTCATTAGAAGTTGTTTGTAAGTGCATATTTATGGACACATGCCTAGGTGTAGTCAGCTAGGTAAAGTTAGGAGGTTATTGGTTCTTCAATCACCCTACTGGGTTAGGGATACTGTATGTTTGAAGTGTGAAGTTTGAAGTCTCAGGTGTAGACCCCTAAGCCAGTAACCAACAGAGAGCCCAGCAGTATGGGAGTTCCCAGAGTTGGGTGTTGAGTCTAATTCTGGAGGACAGTCATTGTGAGTGTACATCAAGGCAGTTCCAGGGACAGGACAACCATTACAGTACATCTGCCAGAATAATTCATAGGATCATAGATTTAGAGGGACCCTAGAGGCCAAATTATATGGGTCAGAAACCAGTCCCTATGGTAGCAACATTTGAAACCAGGCTGATAAGCTCTGGACAGGCTTGATATCTGAGGTGACAAGCTTCTGAGTCCCCAGTAGAAGATTATGAGATAAAGCCTAATAAGAAGGTGATAGATAGACACAGGGTCTAGATATGGGAAAGCATGCATGTGGATTCATTTAGCAGTGTAGATCTGAACATCTCATTCTTTTGTTAAAATCTTTCACTGGCTCCCTGTTGCTGGTAAGTTAAAACTCTTTAAATTGGCTTTTAAAGTCACTAGTAATCTAGTACCACTCTCTATTTCCATCCTTATCTCATGCTACTCTCTTCCATGTCCTCTTGGCTATAACCAAACTGTGACCTATATATGTCCTGGGCTTTCCTACATCCATGCCTTTGCACTTACAAATGAGCCTTGTTCATTGATCATTTTATTCCTAGAAGATGCCCTAGTCCATACTTCCTCTACTTGTTGAACTACTATTCATTCCTTGAAACCCACCTCAAATGCCACCGGCTTTATACTATTCCTGATACTGCAAGTCAATAATAAGTGGCCTTTCCTTTACTCATTAGGAGGACCTGAGACTTGACACTTACTGTCTCTGTGACCCTGGGCAAATCACTTTACCATGATTGTCTCACCAAAAAGCAAAAAAAAAATTATATATTATTTATATATTATATTATATATTATTTGGTATTACAGTTATTTGTATAAATGTTGTATGTTCCCACTATACTGGAAGTTCCTTGAGAGTAGGGACCATGGCTTGTCTATACTTGTACTTCCCCCATTGTCAAAGGGTCTCCTGGCAGGATTCTATAACTTCTAGGAGGTCATATTGAGGTTCAAAATTCTCTCAGCAGTAGTGGTCTTTCTAAACACAGAATCCCTGCAGATTGTACCCTTTATAAGGTCCCCATCTCCTGTTATAGATTATCTCTTTCCATCCAAGATTAAATGGAACCCCTTCTCACCACTAAACTGAGGTTTCCCTCTTTCTTTTCCCATGTCAGTCTCTCCTTTTGTCACCTCTACCTATTCTTCCACAGCCTCTCTTCTTCCTGAGAGACTATAGGATATTTTCCCTTCATTGTTTTCCATTAACTTCTTCCTCCCTTTTGCCCTTGTATGTATCCTCCCATTCTGCAATTTAATCTCACAAAACATTGATTCACCTGCAAGTGAAACATCCTAAGGTTTCAGGATTGTTCCTCTACCTTCACTTCTACATAAATTACACTTTCACCCATGTCTCCTTACTCACTTTTAGAAAGAAATCTCCTAATGGCCCCTCTGTTATTTTGTTGTTCTTGCTATTGTTGAACCCCAGATTTGTCTTTCTATAATTCTTTTCTTCCCTTTTTTGTTAGGGGATAATTAATTTCATTAATTATCTCTTCTTTGGTTGCTATAATTGCTTACCTTTTTTTTTTTCGGCCTCTTGTCTGAGATGTTTGCAAAGCAAACTTACGTGTTTTGTTTTGTTTTTGGTACTTTTGTCCTATTGAATGTCCATCTTTTTTTCATTAATGATTGGGCTTGGGTGTGCAGAGTATATACCACATTGGATTGTACCTTGGTTTCTATGTTCTTAGGAATATATTTTTATTTCTTTCTG